CTGCTGTAGCGGAAGTTTAGTACAATTATTTTTGATGAAATACTCAATCTCTACCCTCCATAATTGCTTCAGTTGCTTGCTACTTTTTAAGGGCGGTGATGACAGTTACAGTATGAACTGAAGTTGATGCGATTTGATTGGATTGTGAGGCATGACGTGAGCCTCATCTGATTGGTCAATCCCTCAATTTTTTTTCACCAAGGGAAGCCAATTTCGGCTGGCCTCCTCTCACAACAGAGAGTGCAATCTACTGTTTCACCATAACATCTAGAGGGGCGCTGTTTCACTCTTTGTAAAATAGAATGGGGGAGAGACGGGCCGGCAGAATAATTACCGAAACTAAACAAAGTGTTTTTATTTATTTATTAAAATTATAACTACAATCCTAAATTCAGGGGAAGCCTGGCTTCCCTTGGCCTCCAGGAGAAAACGCCACTGAGTTCAAGGGATAATTCTCACCCACCTCTTGCTCTTACCCTGTACTTGTATGAGTTGAGCTGGTTCTTCCAGCAGCTCAACTCTGTCCCTCATCATGAACGCAGGAGGCTGGCTGTATATCTGAACTCGTGCCCTCATCATTCTCTTCATCATCTTGCACTTGTTCTAAGCTGCTGCTGATAGTGCTTGTAGCAGCGCTGCTGCCAAAAAGGTCTGTCAATTTGCGACATTGATATGCTTCACCTGCGAGTGACTTCATCTTTTTTTCTCTGGCCTTCTCGGCCCCACCTTTTTCTTTTAGTTTTCTTTGATTTGTATCCATGTGTTTTCATTCTCCCTGTCTGCCGCGGCATCTAATCCCTTCTCTTCGTGTGGCCGGTCTTTTTTCTTCTTCGTGTGTTATTATTTGACAGATAAGAACCACACAACTGCATTAGCGGCCGCTGTCGCCCTCTGTCGGCCGTCAGCGCAACTTAAATGATGATGTTAAACTATTTTTCTTTAAAGGTCCGGCCGGCCGTCAAGGGCCCTTGACGACCGGCCGTTCTGTGGTTCTCCAGATTCTACAGATGGCCAGTCCGCCCCTGATCGGGGGGAACGGGTTTAAGAGGTTAATTAACTATTAGTAGAGAATAACGAGTAATGAATATACTTTATAGGGATCCTATTCATATCTAATAATAAAAATAATGAAATTCAATAACATGCTTTAACCACTAGGTGTCCCTTTATATCAGCTGTGCACCTTTATGGTGTAAATACAGCCTATCTACCAATTGGATCAAATATAAAAGTCAGCCGAATTAGTGTTGATACTGCAAGGAGACGTATTGTGTGAAAAGAAATGTAAGATGTTGTTTAATGGCTGATATATTTATGATCCACGTCACGTTTTCAGTTCCTCATGTTTGTCTAGAAGTCTTCTCATCAGGGCTCTATAAATACAGAACTACGGCAGATATGTAATATTTAATGCAGCCGAACCGTGTATTACAATGCCGTTATGTGATGACTTTCAAAGAGAAAAGCAAGCACACTCGGAATAAAGTATTATTGTATTTTTTTTTTAAATGTTTTCGGTCTGTTTCCGGTATTTGTTAATGACGATGTGCTGTGAGATGTGAGACTGGAATTGCACAGGGGAAAATAACGTAGGCTATCTTTAGATGCGGATTTTGTTAAACTAATATGTTTGTGCTGTGGACCAACACTATACATTGACGGGGAAGGGGGTAGCAATAAAGATAACACCATTAAACAGTTACACAACATAACAGAAATAATATCGATAGCAGCGTCCCTAGCAACCACCATGGTAACCACCTTGGTAACAATGAAAACTTCCTGAAGTAATCTTCGTAATAACTAGCAAACTAAAGATCATGTACATCCACTGCACACATAATCTGAAATAACAACTCATATTTCTCGCATCAAATGACATCAAAACGCATTTTAAAGCCAAACTAACTTTAAAATAGGCATTTTCCACCGAGAATAAAACGAAGTTCGGCCATGTTTTTTTTTTTCTGCAGGGAGAAATTTGAAGATCACGTGACATAGACGCCAGCCATTGGAATGAATGGTGAAAACAGAGCACATGGTGTAGTCCAAATGATAGCTGGGGATTCTGGGTAGTGTAGTGTCTTCTGCCATCCTTTACTCAGAAAAAATATTTGTTTCTCCGAATCGAAGGGGAAAAATACAAAAGCATTGCACACAATTTAAACCAATCAATGTTGTGTAATTAACAAGGATAATCTGGTGTTTTTTAGTCGATGAGTAGTGCAGATATCACTGTAAAATCAATCGACAGTAAGGGGAATACTTACTTCCGGTTGTACAATTCTCCGTTATCCAATGAGAATGGACGCTCACATTGCCTTTTAAGGGCAGCCGACACAAACGAATGCCGTGCTTCCATGAGCGTCATTACCAGTATAAATACATTGCTTTTAAAATCGTGCTGTGCAACACGAAAAAAAGGGGGAAATCGTGTTGGTGAACACGAATCAATAGATTAAAAATCGTGTTGGTGAACACGAAATGCCATGAGACTGGGTTGACTATAAAGGGCACAAAGTTTCATTCACTAATGAAAGTCAAACACATGTTTGTTTCCACTGTTTTATTGTGTGCCTGTCGCGATAAGCAATTCATTGACTTATCGTACGATAAATAAAACTGAACTCGATACATTTACATTTACATGAGGATGTGACTAGCAGTTTGAAAGGATGTAGGCCTACTTGAATTATTATTATATATTATCATGATGTCAGTGGTCTAAAATGGTCATACAACGGTGCCGACAATATTATCGTTTATCGCAATAATTTCCGGGAAAATGTATCCAACACAATTAATTATCGTGAGAGGCCTATACGTGAAACACACACACACAAACAAATCTACAGACTTACTCCAAACTGCCAAATATATTAATGAACACACTCTCACTCTCATATACTCTTTGACTCTATTTTGGCCTAGTAGAACAATAAGCAGCAGACTTTTACTTGTTATCATTTCTACTGGATCTTAGATCTGCGCATGCACAACACACCTGATTGACCAACCGGCTCCCACTGCTCTGCTGTCTGTTAACGTTGTTAAGAGTGGTGGGGGCGGGGAGGGAGTGGGCCGACAGCTTGAGCAGCTGTCAACTCAACATTGTAAATAACCAACCAAAAACGATCGCCGGTTCATCTTGTTTTTGGCGTGAGAATAGTTTGGGCAGCGTGAGAGTGAAAGCGTGTGTTACACGCCAGATGCGTGAGAGTTGGCAACCCTGGTGGCACCTCAGGGGTAAATCGCCGGGTGGCCAGGAAGAACCGGCTTCTTCGGCAAAAGCGCGGGGCTCCACGCTAGCCGTGTTAGTGAGCGCAGCCTGGACATGCAGCCGCATGTCCTGGAGAAACAGCTCCATGAAAAAAATATCAGGCTCTTCCGTACCTAGCAGGTCGTGTATCGTCTCCATGTAGTCGGAAGGCTTGCTGTCTTCAAGTGCTGAAACGATGAGGGAATGGCAAGCGACGTCCCCGGCCATTCCGCGGAGGGCGCACCGAGCCTCAATCCGTGTGCACGTGGCAGCCACGGACGCCTCCAAAAATCTCCGGCAGTTTGTGAAAAACAACGTTTCCAGCCATGTTCGGTCCTGTCTCGGAAACTTCTGCGAGACTTACGTCAGGGTCATCAGTGTAGTGCCGAGAGATGAGAGTCGGAGGCGGTGCATCGAAGGTGCAAAGTTTACTTTATTGAAAAGCACATGTTGCTGGGTTGAAGACCGGGAAGAGAAGAGAAGAAGAGAAAGGAGGGCACACAGTAGGTATACAGTAGGTACAGTCAACATATGTGTCCGTGCGGAAACAATACCCCCAACCCGTAGCAGAGATGGAGTACTCGAGTCCTGGATTCGGATTCGAGTGCCGATTTTCGGGACTCGTGACTTGACTCGGACTCGCGCACTGATTGACGCGACTCGGACTCGGACTCGAACACAGGTAATGATGACTCGTACTCGGACTCGGCTCGGACACTCCTTGGATGACTCGGACTTGGACTCGGACTCGAGCAAGTTTTCTCTGGAGTCTGATGTCCTCTGTGTCCTGGCGTGTGCACCTGCGAGGCGAGTTCACGTACTGGGCGCGCCCCCGCTGCTATACCAGTCTAAAGATGTCCAGAGACACACCCCACATCGTGCTGTATGCTTTTAAAGATTTCGTTTCCATATTGGGAAAGAGCAGCGCAAAATGCACATTATGTGGACAGAAGATAGAAGAGAAGACTGGGACAACGTCGAATTTCAATCTTCACCTTTCACGGCGGCACCCAGAAAAGTAAGTAGAAATGCTATTGTTAGCTTGCTAACCCACGTTAACGTTAGCCACTAAATTGACTCCACAAAGGTTTTAAGATGTCGGGTTAGATGGAGGTAGGGGTTGATATCACATCCTAGGGACCAAGTGCAGTTTTATTGTCTAGATAGATACTGTTAAAAAGCTATACATGTCCTTGGTGATACTGCAGATGATGAGTAGCCTAGCCCTAGCCTACAATGAACGTGAAAATTAGAGACTGAAAATGATCTCCGTCACGGAGGCTCCATAACACATTACTCTAAGGATGGAGTTCATATATATATATATAGGTAGGCTGTATTGAACACTATCATCAGAGTAATGTGATCAAATCAATAAGTAAAGATTCAGCCGATAACATGAAAGCACATGGCTACTTAACATGCAGAATGTCGTCATTGTGCATGCTAAGTAGCAATGTGCTTTCTGGGGCTTAATCTTTATTGATATCATTTAAACTTTCGCTTATTGGTTGTTGGACATTGTGATATTATTCAAAGCAATGTAGAGGAGCTACAGCTACATTTCAACACATATATCCACTAAGATGAATACATGAAGACTTGTGACTCGGACTTGACTTGGACTCTTCTTGGGTGACTCGGACTTGGACTCGGACTCGAACACAGGTAATGGTGACTCGGACTCGACTCGGACTCGGACACTCCTTGGGTGACTCGGACTTGGACTCGGACTCGAAGAGTGGGGACTCGAGAGTGACTTGGACTCGAAGAGTGGGGACTCGAGAGTGACTTGGACTCGTGAATTGGTGACTTGACTACAACACTGACCCGTAGTTCCATGAGTGAATTATGTAACATGAGTAAATTAGTGATCACTACAATATACTGTATTACATTTAACAGGACACATGTTTCTTGATGCTGACTCTAAACATCAGTCTAATATTGTGTAGGGTTTCTCTCTGAGTGAAAGCAGAATGAGTTTAGAAAGATCTCCATGTACTGTTGTCAGGGTTTCAGGTAGAATTAATTGCAGTCTGATTGTTATCTGAGTTCTCGTCATCAGAGAAAAATGCAGGTCATGTCAGAACCTGCTCTAACAAGTTGTGACTGTTTTTCTGTCTAACTCTTAATACTCTGAATCAGGCAGGTGAGGGAGAGTCTGGCAGGCGGACAGCTAGATCCTGTAAGGCCGGTTTCCACGTGACCCTGACGTGTTTTCACTCTCTGGATTTCTGAGGGTGTGAAGGCGTCCTCAGATCAGATGCAGGCGGACTCAGGACTGAAGAGGAAGAGATGAGCAGAGTTTCCTCCTCACCTGAAGAGAGTCTGTGAGTAGACCTGAAGAGAGTCTGTGAGTAGACCTGAAGAGAGTCTGTGAGTAGACCTGAAGAGAGTCTGTGAGTAGACCTGAAGAGAGTCTGTGAGTGGACCTGAAGAGAGTCTGTGAGTAGACAGGCAGTGATATCATAAAACTGTTAATGAACGCATTCAAACACTTGGTAGTTTTTCTTTTACCAGCTGTTCTGTATTGACCTTGCCCGTGCAACTATGTGGCTTTTATCCTGGATAAAGTGTTAAGTCATGGATGTTAAAAGTTGAACGTCTTCATATTTGTCTAACATGATAGTTTACTATTCAGTCATGAAGTATGACGCCGCGCTGCCAGTACGCTTGTCCATGTTTGTGAAACCCTGGTTGATTTACTGAGTTGATAACCAGCGTCGTAGGACCTCTTAGCGAGATCTCGTTTGTTAGGGTTAGTTAAGAAAACTCAAACATATCCAGGGTCTGTTTGAACATCTGTCTGAAATATGGTGTAGGGTTTCTCTCTGAGTGAAAGCAGAATGAGTTTAGAAAGATCTCCATGTACTGTTGTCAGTGTTTCAGGTAAATGAGTTTCAGTCTGATTGTTCTCTGAGTTCTCGTCATCAGAGCAAAGTGCAGGGCGTGTCAGAACCCGCTCTAACAACCTGTGACTGTTTTTCTGTCTAACTCTTAATACTCTGAATAAGGGAAGGAGTGTGAAGGGCCCGTCTTCCAACACTGACCTGGTTTCACTGAAGAGCCTTGAAAATGTCAAATCTTTTTTTTAAATTTTAGATTATACATCTGGGACTAGATCGCCCAAATTTGGAAAAAAATATATAACAGTAGATGTTTTGATATATATGTTGGGCTATGCAAAACATTTGCATGAAAAGTAAACGGGAGATTTCAAAAAAATGAAAAGATTCTTCCCATAGATTTGAACTGCATTGTAACTTAGTTATGAGGGAACTTATGTTTCATACTTTCAATGATATATCAAAAACACATTTCTTATCAGTTCACAAAAGACCTCATTTTAATTAAAGTCCGTAACTGCTTTCATGTAATTAACGTACATATTTTAAGCCAAACAATTATATTTGTTCTAAACCTAAAGACGTTTTGTTGAATGGCTAGTGAGCGCAGTTCAGGTGTGTGGGATATCTTGTGGGGGCTGGGCTGTAAATGACCTGTGGATGTTCATTGAAGTGACTGTTTGTGTGTGCTGTGATACACTGTGACACACTAACACATATTTAGGGGTCAACACCCTGAGTTTCTGTGTGGTTCTGGGGCTGTGGGGAACATCCTGGGCTGATCCGGTCCTGTTGAGGCTCCCACAAGGTTCCTGAATCTCTGAGAGGAGGAGCACTACCTGTGATGTGAAGCTTGTGGTAATGAATGAGCATGTTGTGTCACGATCTGTCTTTGTGGTGTTTTGTCTTGTCTAGATCTGTTTTTGGTTTTCTGTCTGCGTTGTGTTTTGTCTTGTTTGGATCTGTCTGTGGTTCTCTGTCGTTAGTTTCCCTGGTGTGTCTGATTACCCGATTGTGTTCACCTGTGGCCCCTGTGTTTTCTCCTCCCTCCTCACCTGTGTCTTGTTTGTGTGATTAGTCTTGTGTGTATTTAAGTTCTGGTTTTTCTGTCTGTCTTGGTCGGTTCGTCTTTTGTCATGACTAGTTTGTCGGTGAGTGTTCTGTTTTGTTTTTGTTGTTCACCTAGCCTGGAAATAAAGGAATTCTCACTTTAATCTGCATTTGGGTCCTACCTGCTTCACACACCGTGACATGTTGTTGTGTTTGTGTGAAGGTGGGGGCTCTGCTATGGATCAGTGTGAGGACGCAGAGGAGGAAGCCCCCCCCTCTAAAAGCTCTGGGGAACATGACAGCCAGACCAAAGCTCAGAGGTGAGATCTCCAGCTGTCCATCACTCTTCTCCATGTCACAGCTCAATACATTTGATTTATACAGCACACTTTAAAGAGAACGTCATCTCAAGGTGCTTCACAAAGCTATAAGGAGAAAATAATAAAATAAAAATATATCTAAAGGAGCATATTGAATAAAATATGGTAATGTCACAAATCAAAATCAAAGGTTAAGAGCATAAAAGGTTACAAAAATTAAATAAATAAAATAAAAATAAAGGACGGTCAGTAGCATGCGGTGTGGAACAGGGGGGTCTTGAGGCATTTCCTAAAGACTGAGAGTGATGCCGAGGTCCGTTTGTTCTCTGGAAGCTGATTCCACAGACGTGGACCCAGGGAGGAGAAAGCACGGTGACCATGGTGACCAGTTTTGTCCACGGAACAGCCAGGAGATTGGAGCTGTCTGACCTGAGTGTGCGTGAGGTATGGGAATGTTTTCTGGTTAGCAGTTCCTGTAGGTAGGGGGGGGGCCGGTGTGGTTGATGGCGTTGAAGACCATTATGAGGACTTTGTAGTTGATCCGGTGTGTTACAGGGAGCCAGTGGAGTGAGTGAAGGATGGGGGTGATGTGCTCTGATTTGCGTGTTTTTGTGAGTATCCGGGCGGCACCGTTTTGTACATATTGTAGTCTATGAGTGTTTTTTGCTGGAATGCCTGCAAGCAGAGAATTGCAGTAGTCAATGCGGGAGGTGGTGCATGGAGCAGTTTTTCTGCATCCGGTTTGGTGAGGGAGTGTCACATTTTGGAGATGTTCCTCAGGTGGTAGTATGAGGCTTGGCAAACCGTCTTTGGGTGCCTTTACACGGGAACGTTTGCGTTTACGCACGTAGGGGAGAAGGGGGTTAGTTGAACCTCCCCCTGTAACCAGGCAACGCCTTATAGTTGTAATCAAGTGACCAGAAATGATGCAAGTTCCTCCCATTTCTCCTTGCCTGTGAAAGAGAGATACTCATTGGTTTATTGCTTGTCAAAGTAAATGTTCTAGATGTCAGCTATATCGGCTGTCATGTCAAAAAAAAAGTATCCAGGTTTAAACACATACTGTATACTGAACAAAAATATAAATGCAACACTTTGGTTTTTACTCCCATTTTTCATGAGATGAACTCAAAGATCTAAAACATTTTTCTATAAACACAAAATAACCATTTCTCTCAAATATTGTTCACAAATCTGAAAGAATCTGTGATAGTGAGCACTTCTCCTTTGCCGAGATAATCCATCCCACCTCACAGGTGTGGCATATCAAGATGCTGATTAGACAGCATGATTATTGCACAGGTGTGCCTTAGGCTGGCCACAATAAAAGGCCACTCTGAAACGTGCACTTTTGCTTTATTGGGGGGGTCTGGGGGGGGTGTATATAAAAAATGTTTTAGATCTTTGAGTTCATCTCATGAAAAATGGGAGCAAAAACAAAAGTGTTGCGTTTATATTTTTGTTCAGTGTATATTGTATATGTTGATGTGTTGGCAGCGTGTTACACCATGTGAATCATTAAGCTAAAGATGACTGCATTTTAATGCTAGGCTATTTGTTCTAAAATGGTGGCTGTGGGGTGAAGTGAACCACGGGCCGTGGGGTAAGTTGAGCCACTTTTTCAATGGAGAAATGAATGAAAGCAGGCCAAGTTGATAATAAGAGCTCATTGTAGGCTACATTTAAAGTTGAATTTACCCTGTGTTTGATCGGTAAGATGTATGAAATTGTATCACCATTTGTATGATTACTTTTACTTTTACTTTTAACACATCAATAAATTCAATCGAAATGTATCTTAAAAATATTTGAAAAACTAAGCTAGTACTTGTTTTGTTATTGATGGTTTATAGTTATCTTTAAGATGTGTTGTAGGTATGCCCAGGTTTGAACAGTGGTTCATTTTACCCCCTGACCTGGATCAACTCACCCCTACACTGGGGCAAGTTGAGCCCCAGTTTTTAGAAGTAATATTTTCACTGCCCTTGATCAAATATGAATTCTTATCATTGCCATTGATAGGAGACATCCTGAATTAGAGGTGTGTGCTTTCATTTTTACTATGTGTCATTTCTCCTTGCTTAGAGGACAGCATTACTAAAGAATGGCTCAACTTACCCACTCAACAAGGATTTGTTAATTATGATGGTGGCAGCTTGAGGGAGGCGTGTGGCACAGTGGATAGAGCCTTGGTGTTGGGGTCAGGGGGTCACAGGTTCAAACCCCACTGCAGTCAGCATGTCGTTGTGTCCCTGAGACTCTTCACCCCAAAGTGCTCCTGTGGGGATTGCCCACAGTATTGAGTCTGTACGTCGCTTTGGATAAAAGCGTCTAATAAGTGACATGTGATGTGATGTGGCAGTTGATGGTGGCAGTTGGAATAATGGATGGAGAGCAGGCTTTCAGTAGGGAGGTGGGGATAGGATCAAGGGCGCAGCTAGATGAGGTCATAGCTGAGATGATTTTTGAAAGCTCAGCTTGCGAGACCTCCGTGAAGCAGTTTAGGGTTGGTGCATTTGGTGGAGCAAGAACAGGATGTTGGGGAGAGACAGGTTGGTTTCAGGAGGCTTTGGCGATGTTAAGCCTGAGGTTTGTTTTTTAAAGTTCCATAAAGCGGTTGCAGTCATCAGTTGTAGGAGTGGTTGATGAGGGATCACTAGGCTTGAGCAACCGATGCATTGTGGAGAATAGGTGCTTGGGTTTGTTACGATTTGTCTCAATCAGATTGGCGTAGTAGGCTGACCTGGTTGCTCTCAATGCCGAGGAATAGGCCTTCTGGTGATCTCTGAAAGAGAGCAGGTGGACAGTTAGGCCAGTTTTCCTATATCTGCGCTCAATCTTCCGACCCTCTGATTTGTGCGCTCTGAGCTGGTCAGTGTACCATGGGGCAGAGCGCCATGTACCACTCGGCTTATTTCAGGTGCCAGCCTGTCTAGGCACTCATGCAGGGTGTTATTATACCGGTGCACATGCTCTTCAAGTGAGAGTGCAGCATGGGGCCTGGATAGGGAAGAAGAGAGGGCAGACGTTAGCTGACTATGGTCTATGTCAAGCTCAGCACTCATTATTCACTCAAAGCTATGTGTGTTGTGTTCCAGCCAAGAGCAAACAACACATTCTGCTGGACCTGGACAGGGATCTGAAGAAGGACTTGGACCTGGATCTGAACCGGAACCTGCTCCTGAACCTGCTCCTGAACCTGGTCCTGAACCGGAACCTGGTCCTGAACCTGCTCCTGAACCTGCTCCTGAACCTGCTCCTGAACCTGTGTCCAGTAACCAGCTTACTGCCGGAGACCAGAACCAGGTGTGTGAGTCTCCCTCTACCATCAGCCCTAACTGTATCCCACTGTCACAATATCCAATCTGTCCAGTTCAGGTCCAGGTTATTTCTTTGTACCAGTGGGTAGACTTGGTTTGCAGAACAAATAAAAGGTATCCATGGTGACACATGCTTCAAGCAACACAGACACATTGAAAACCACTATCAATCAATCAATCAATCAATGTTTATTTATATAGCCCAATATCACAAATGTTACATTTGTCTCAGTGGACTTTACAGTTTGTACAAAATATCAGTATGACAATACGACACCCTCTGTCTTTAGACCCTCACATCGTACAAGGAAAAACTTCCGAAGAAAACCCACAGTTTAAAGGGAAAAATGGGAGAAACCTCAGGGAGAGCAACAGAGGAGGGATCCCTCTCCCAGGACGGACAGACGTGCAATAGATGCCGTGTGTAAATTGAAAAGATAATACATTTGCAACATAGGTAGTCCAAATGTTTGGAAATGCATGTGTGTATAAGCACTAGCACAGACAAAGCTGTTTTTAAACCTCTTGGTTCTAGACCTTTAGGAAGATTAACCTCCGGCCCGAAGGAAGAAGCTGAAATTCAGGTTGATGGGGTGGGAGTCTTCATTAAACATGGAGTTAGACAGCCTCTGTAACTGTCTGATGAGCAGGGGCTCCAGGTTTAGCTGTGACTCACCATTCAGTCTGCTAGACCAGGGGTTCCCAAACGTTGCCAAGCCAATGACCCCCATATAGCATTATTCTCTGGCGGGGACCCCCCTGTTGCAATTTAAAAAAAAATGATGAGTACATTATGATGGAAAATAGGACATTATGACAATACATTTTCTTAATATATATTTGTATTGATAATTAATAATCAGTTATTCTTCTAAAAAAGTCTATTTATCTTTTGTTTGTCATTCATTACATTGATTGTGTCTTCTGTTATAAACATTCTTAACACAATATTAAACAGTAATATCAACAGTAAACATATTTTAAAGCATTTTTAAAGTGATTTCTGTCTTTATAATATTATATAATCTTGAACAGTAATATGAACAATTAACATTTATTTTTATCATTTTTGAAAGCTACTTAAGCCTTAATAATATTATATATAATATTCAACAGTAATATTAACAATAAACATATTTATATTCATAGGCCTATATATACATCAATATTTGCTGCATCCGTGCTCTCATCCGGCTGCAGAGCGAAACATTCACTCGCTCTCACTTGCTCCAAAAGCTGAGATACTCAGTTTCACTCTCAGTAGCGGCAGCTCGATCCTGATTGGCTTGAAGGGCGGTCGTGTGATTTAAAAAACGTTTTATAAATAGAAAATATTAAAAGATTGGCATCAAAGGACACATAGATTGATAGATATGCAGTAATGAATAACATCTACAAAAATAAATAAATGTAACTTTAAAAAAAATAAGAAAGTTCCCCTTTTCCTCAAACTTTGCGGACCCCCCTGGCGCCCCCTGGCGGCCCCCCGGGGGGTCGGGCCCCCACTTTGAAAAACACTGTGCTAGACCACTTCATGATCTGACTGAGACAGTTTCTGCTCTTTAAAGTCAGATTACCAAGACATGAAAGAAAAAGACAGAATTGACTCTGCTGACTGTCTTCAAGTTTAGGATTGACTTCCTGAATGTCTTTCTTGAAGTCTAAGGTATTAAAACAAGTTTAGAACCGATTAGGGCATGTACTAACTCCACATCTGAATTGAAGCCATCCAAAGTCACATGGCAGCTGTTCTTTGGATCCTGAAGGCCTGTTATGGTTTTCAAAAGTACAAAAATACAATACAACAACATATTGTTCTGTAAGATAAAGATTTTCTTTCTTGGTATCTTTGCTCTGCAGGGAGAAAAGATGGAGACACCTAGAGAAGTCCTATTAACAACTTTAGAACATTTGGAGGAAAAGGACTTAAAAAAATTCAAGTGGTTCCTGGAGAAGAAGGTCCTAACATTCCCAGGAATCCCAAAGAGTCGACTCGAGAAAGCAGCAGACCGGATGGACACAGTGGATCTGATGCTTCCCTACTACGGCATACACACCATTAAAGTGACCATAGACGTTTTGAAAGAGATCCCGAGGAATGATCTTGTCGAGGAATTATCAAAATTCCCATCAGACCCTGAAGGTAGGTCTTTAAAAAAGAGTTTAGCAAATATATATATAACTTTTTTTATTGTTCACTCCTGATATACCCCTCAGAGAACCATCACCTCTACATGGTGTTGGGGCTGAGGTACCCCTGAAAGCAGAGAGGTCAGGGTCACTAGTTTCTGGCAGGGTCACCCTGTTGGTTCCAGGTGAGGGGTAGTAAAACCTTTATAGATCAGCATTTTAGGAATCCAATTACCTTTCCTGGGTTAGGAAGTTTGGGTTTCGGTAAAATTGTCCAAAACATATCTTCTTTCGTCTCTTCCTAACCACAATTCCTTAACCTCTGTGAAACATCTTGGGGTTAATGATAGGAAGATTCATCAGGACTTAGGAAAAGAAACTGCTGTGCTTTGAGAGTCCGACCGCACTGACACTATCCAACGTCATTATGATTAGCAGCCGATGTTATTAAGAAGGAGAAGACGCTTTATTTCCTCCCAAAGGGGAAATTCAGCTCAGTTGTTCACTCGGTTGTGGTAACAGACAGTACAATACACACACATGCACAGGACAGGTGAGAGAGGCCTGAGCAAAACAGACGGCCAGTCTGTCCAGCGCCAGGGAGCAGTTGCGGGTTCTGTGCCTTGCTCAATGGCAGGAGGTGAACTGGCACCTCTCCAGGAACCTGTCTACACTCCGTATTATTTTGGTCCGATCGGGACTCCAACCGGCGACCCTTCGGTTCCCAACACAAATTCCTGCAGACTGCGCCACTTAAACACTCTGCTGCATTGGCTGGGAATCTAACCCGGGCATCCAGGTGAGAATTCTACCACTGAACCACCAATGCTATATTAACGAGTTTATCCTGGTGGGACATTGGAGATATGTAATACAAGTGGGTGATGCTAAAAGCCAGTGTTGGAGAGGAGATGGATCAGAGGAATGACCAGAAAGTCATCAGTGTTCTCTGAAATCAACACACTCTCACTCCCTAAGCGTCCAGGAGCGACGTTTGGTCAGTGTCCGTGGCGTCCAGTTGTGACGCTCCTAGGCTCCTTCAGCATCATAAAGGGACGCAAATAGCTTTCAACTGATTGCAATGTATTCCCATCTGCGGCGGTATTTGACGCTCATGGAAGCACGGCATTCGTTTGTGTCGGCTGCCCTTAAAGGCAATGTGAGCGTCCATTCCCATTGGATAACGGAGAATTGTACACCCGGAAGTAAGTATTCCTCTTACTGTCGATTGATTTTACAGTGATATCTGCACTACTCATCGACTCAAAAACACCAGATTATCCTTGTTAATTACACAACATTGATTGGTTTAAATTGTGTGCAATGCTTTTGTATTTTTCCCCTTCGATTCGGAGACACACATATTTTTTCTGAGTAAAGGATGGCAGAAGACACTACACTACCCAGAATCCCCAGCTATCGTTTGGACTACACCATGTGCTCTGTTTGACAAACCCCGGGATAGTTCTCAAGCTCTGTGATTGGAGAGTGTGCTCCGAGGGTTACGCCGATTCTCGAACAGCACTTGAAATGGGATGGAACCAAGGCAGACTGTCCAAAACTGGATTTGAACGGGTCCACCGCGTCCCCCCCCTCCCCCACCCCGTCCCCAGAACTACACATGCTGGCTATTCTGTTTCGCAACATGTTCTCTATCTATGGCACGTCTCTACTGGGAGTTGTAGTTTTAAAAGACGTTTTCGTATTTCCCATAATAAGAAGTGGCCAGTATTAAACTGTGTACATCCCTGGAGGTTTAGGGGATAGGAAACACTCACATTTAAAACATATATTAATAAATGGGTGAAAATTGCTTGTGCCCATAATGGGCAGCATTAATATATATACACACATGCCAGCTAAGGTCAGAAGAGCTTTATTTAACAGCTGGTCTTATGTTTGTGACCCCTGTAGTTAATTGATAACATTACATTACATTACATTAATTGATAAGCCTGAAACATGCACTTGTCAAGGTTCAGAGGCACATTTTGCAAATATGGCAGTAGCCATCGATCAGCTTAAGATAAGATATACTTTGTTGATCCCAAGTTGGAACATTTGCGTTACATCAGCATGTGTAACAGTTGTAAATATGCAGTGGTGTTTATTTGTAAATCATTTAGTATAATCACACAAATTCTGTGTTTTATATTTAACAATTCTGTGTTCTTTATTTATTGATTGTTCAATACCTGACAAGGCCAGAGATGAAATATCTACATACATCTTATAAGAGTATAATACATTATGTATAATATCAGTTAAAATAAGTGCTTCAACATAGTTAACATTGCTGGAGGTATGCACAAATATTGATAGATGTCTTGTAATGCCCTATTGAGGAACCTGCGACCCAAGTTTTTAATTCAATGCAGAACTACACCATAGTTGTGTAGGCCTATGATATGTCAATAAACCTTAGAAAATCTTGAAATCTTGAAAGGGATGTGCAAAATAGTAATTATATACAGTCTTTAAGTAACTATTAGTAGAGAATAACGAGTAATGAATATACTTTATAGGGATCCTATTAATATCTAATAATAAAAATAATGAAATTCAATAACATGCTTTAACCACTAGGTGTCCCTTTATATTAGCTGTGCACCTTTATGGTGTAAATACAGCCTATCTACCAATTGGATCAAATATAAAAGTCAGCCGAATTAGTGTTGATACTGCAAGGAGACGTATTGTGTGAAAAGAAATGTAAGATGTTGTTTAATGGCTGATATATTTATGATCCACGTCACGTTTTCAGTTCCTCATGTTTGTCTAGAAGTCTTCTCATCAGGGCTCTATAAATACAGAACTACGGCAGATATGTAATATGTAATACAGCCGAACCGTGTATTACAATGCCTTTATGTGATGACTTTCAAAGAGAAAAGCAAGCACACTCGGAATAAAGTATAATTAATTTTTTTTTAAATGTTTTCGGTCTGTTTCCGGTATTTGTTAATGACGATGTGCTGTGAGATGTGAGACTGGAATTGCACAGGGGAAAATAACGTAGGCTATCTTTAGATGCGGAGTTTGTTAAACTAATACGTTTGCGCTGTGGACCAACACTATACATTGACGGGGAAGGGGGTAGCAATAAAGATAACACCATTAAACAGTTACACAACATAACAGAAATAATATCGATAGCAGCGTCCCTAGCAACCACCTTGGTAACCACCTTGGTAACAATGAAAACGTCGCGATTTCCTGAAATAATCTTCGTAATAACTAGCAAACTAAAGATCATGTACATCCACTGCACACATAATCTGAAATAACAACTCATATTTCTCGCATCAAATGACATCAAAACGCATTTTAAAGCCAAACTAACTTTAAAATAGGCATTTTCCACCGAGAATAAAACGAAGTTCGGCCATGTTTTCTTTTTCTGCAGGGAGAAATTTGAAGATCACGGGACATAGATGCCGCCATTGGAATGAATGGTGAAAAAAAACAGGGTTTGTCAAACAGAGCACATGGTGTAGTCCAAACGATAGCTGGGGATTCTGGGTAGTGTAGTGTCTTCTGCCATCCTTTACTCCGAAAAAATATGTGTTTCTCCGAATCGAAGGGGAAAAATACAAAAGCATTGCACACAATTTAAACCAATCAATGTTGTGTAATTAACAAGGATAATCTGGTGTTTTTTTAGTCGATGAGTAGTGCAGATATCACTGTAAAATCAATCGACAGTAAGAGGAATACTTACTTCCGGGTGTACAATTCTCCGTTATCCAATGGGAATGGACGCTCACATTGCCTTTAAAGGCAGCCGACACAAACGAATGCCGTGCTTCCATGAGCGTCAAATCCCGCCGCAGATGGGAATACATTGCAATCAGTTGAAAGCTCTTTGCGTCCCTTTATGATGCTGAAGGAGCCTAGGAGCGTCACAACTGGACGCCACGGACACTGACCAAACGTCGCTCCTGGACGCTTAGGGAGTGAGAGTGTGTTGCTGAAATGGCAGTGAGTCCTTGAGTGCTACGTTTTCCCAGGAAACGGCCATTTCTGTTTGGAATGAGGTTCGTCCTGCCGAACTGTCAGATCTCTCAGGAGGAGGAGTCATGGATAAACCCCGGCTGTTTTCCACAGTGTAGGTTAGCTGCTGACTCAGTCTCAGGATGTCGAATGGGACTGTCCTAGTCATTACTAATGGCCCAGCCGCCTACAGGTGGAAGGGGGTATTATTTGCCGTCCTACATGACTTGGTGAGGAAGGGACAGGTTATTACTGTGACCCCCCAGGGTGTCTGGTAGATGGTAGGCTACTGCAGGAGTATACTGCAACACAGTAAGAGCCATCCACTTCCTGTATAGCTAGAGAGAGAGCTGTGTCCACACCCTCAGTGGGTGTTGGGATCTGCTGGTAGCAGCAGGAATAAGAGTCAGTCAGGTTTAGGGCCATGGTTCTCTGTGGGAAAACAGATGGTTCTCTGTGGGGTGGAACTTATACTGGACAATGTACGGATAAATATGCAACAAGATCCAGTGACTTGATATGAGGAAAATAACCTGCTATTTGTCAGAAATGGGTCCAATTAGAAGGAAATCTTTTGATGTGTCTTTCGTGTAAATGTCTTTCTTATTCATTCAGATATTCTCACGAAGTGCCAAGGTGAACTCAAATCAAACCTGAAGGAAACATTTGAAAATATCATATTTATGGACAAATCTGAATCCCTACATAAAATCTACACGGAGATCTACATCACCAGGGGAGACACCACAGAGGTCAACAAGGAACATGAGATCAGACAGATCGAACAAGCATCCAGTAAACCAGACAGATCAGAAACACCCATCAGCCAAGAAGACCTCTTTAAAGGCTCAACTGAAAGAGGTAAACCAATCAGAGCAGTGATGACAAAGGGAGTGGCTGGCATTGGGAAAACAGTCTTAACACAGAAGTTCACTCTGGACTGGGCTGAAGGCAAAGCCCACCAGGACATCCAGTTCATATTTCCATTCACCTTCAGAGAGCTGAATGTGGAGAGTGATGAAAAGTACAGCTTGGTGGAACTCGTTCATCACTTCTCTGAAACCAGAGACGCAGGAATCTGCAGGTTTGATCAGTTCCCGGTCGTGTTCATCTTTGACGGTCTGGATGAGTGTCGACTTCCTCTGGACTTCCTCAACACTAAGATCCTGACTGATATCACAAAGTCCACCTCAGTGGATCGGTTGCTGACAAACCTCATCAGGGGGAAGCTGCTTCCCTCTGCTCGCCTCTGGATAACCACACGACCTGCAGCAGCCAATCAGATCCCTCATGAGTGTGTGGACATGATGACAGAGGTCCGAGGGTTCACTGACCCACAGAAGGAGGAGTACTTCAGGAAGAGATTCACAGATCAGGAGAAGGCCGGCACCATCATCTCCCACATCAAGACCTCACGAAGCCTCCACATCATGTGCCACATCCCAGTCTTCTGCTGGATCTCTGCTTCAGTTCTGGAGGACATGTTGAAAACTGAGGGAGGAGAGCTGCCCAAGACCCTGACTGAGATGTACATCCACTTCCTGGTGGTTCAGTCCAAAGTGAACGTCAAGTATGATGGAAGAGCTGAGACAGATCCAGAGAGCAGGAAGATGATGGAGTCTCTGGGGAAACTGGCTTTTGAGCAGCTGCAGAAAGGCAACCTGATCTTCTATAAGTCCAACCTGAGAGACTGTGGCATCAATATCAAAGCAGCCTCAGTGTACTCAGGAGTGTTCACACAGGTCTTTAAAGAGGTGAGAGGAACGTACAAGGACAAGGTGTTCTGCTTCGTCCATCTGAGCGTTCAGGAGTTTCTGGCTGCTCTCCATGTCCATCTGACCTTCATCACCTCTGGAGTCAACCTCATGGCCCCCTGGTGGTCTAAAGTCTTCAGACAAAAACCTAAACGTCTCTACCAGAATGCTGTGGACCAGGCCTTACAGAGTCCAAACGGACACCTGGACTTGTTCCTCCGCTTCCTCCTGGGTCTTTCAATGGAGACCAATCAGACCTTATTACACAACCTGCTGACACAGACAGGAAGTAGCTCACAGACCAACCAGAAAACAGTGAAATACATCAAGAGAAAGATAGGAAAGAACCCGTCTCCGGAGAAAAGCATCAACCTGTTCCACTGTCTGAATGAACTGAATGATCGTTCTCTAGTGGAGGAGATCCAACAGTCCCTGAGTTCAGGAAGTCTCTCCACAGCGGATCTGTCTCCTGGTCAGTGGTCAGCTCTGGTCTTCATCTTACTGTCATCAGAAGAAGATCTGGACGTGTTTGACCTGAAGAAATACTCTGCTTCAGAGGAGGCTCTTCTGAGGCTGCTGCCAGTGGTCAAAGCCTTCAGGAAGGCTCTGTAAGTGGAGATAAAACTATATTAACTAGGAACAGTTTGAGACATGAGAATAAAACTGTTTGTGTTCACTGCTGATCTTTCCCCAGGCTGAGTGGCTGTAAACTGTCAGAGAAAAGCTATGAAGCTCTGTCCTCAGTCCTCAGCTCCCAGTCCTCCAGTCTGAGAGAGCTGGACCTGAGTAACAACGACCTGAAGGATTCAGGAGTGAAGCTGCTGTCTGCTGGACTGGAGAGTCCACACGGTGTACTGAAGACTCTCAGGTCAGAGTTCAGCTGATATGTTAACCGTCATTTCTATCGACTAATTTCCAGTTTGTTGTTTATTTTTCTTCAAAACAATAAACCATAAGACCATGATAACAATCTTATTATATTTGAAGACAGATGGCATCACTTATCTACATCTCAATGTATCTGACTCATTGACCAACCCAAACATGCACAGACAAACAGATGGTATCATTTGACAAAGGAACTAGAAAAGATTGTATGTTGAAACCTTGCGTTCAATCACATTTATTATTAAAGGAATGTTGTTATGTATTAATTTCTTTCAAGGTTAACTGGCTGCGACCTGTCAGAGATAAGCTGTGTAGCTCTGTCCTCAGTCCTCAGCTCCCAGTCCTCCAGTCTGAGAGAGCTGGACCTGAGTAATAACGACCTGCCGGATTCAGGAGTGAAGCTGCTGTCTGCTGGACTGGAGAGTCCACACTGTGAACTGGAGACTCTCAGGTCAGAGTTCAGCCGACATGTTAACTGTCATTTCTATCGACTCATTTCCAGTTTTATCTAATATTGGTTAATAATACATTTAGATTTTCCTTTGGCTTGTTGTTTATTTTTGTTCTTCAAAACAATAAACCATAAAACCATGATAACAATCTTATTATATTTGAAGACAGATGGCGTGACTTATCTACATCTCAATGTATCTGACTGATTGACCAACCCAAACATGCACAGACAAACAGATGGTATCATTTGACAAAAGAACTAGAAAAGATTGTATGTTGAAACCTTGCTGTCAATCACATTTATTATTAACCTGTTTAGCGCGAAGGCCCACGCCCGCGGGGCTGCAGGTTTTTTTTCCACAAAACTGTGTCTCAGGGCTTCTTAACATTTAAAAACCTATTAATGTGTCATACCCACTTAACTGGAAGAAACTCAGCTAACTGACGATACAAACAAGTTTTACCGAAACAAAACACAATTCTCACAAGAAGCGTCTAAATGAACCCTGAGCGAAAAGATTCTAACACACTTAGCAGAGAACTCACGGTAAAATACCCTTATTACATATCGGATCTGCAAAAACAAGATATCGATTAGCAAGCTCAAATTCCACAGATTCCAGAAATATAAGTATCATCACTGAGCGATCAGAACTCGTGACAGGGGAAGCAAACCCAGACATCACACCAAGTAGCTTTACGGAGCAAACACGGACATTGTCTTACCTTAGCTGTTGTTCTGATCAAAAGTCGTGTTCAATGGCATTAAAACGAGAAAAACGCGGCTGAAGGTTAATCCATAGGTTAATCCAATGTGTCTGTGTCACTCTGAAATGATTACTGATAATCCATCATCATATTTATGTAAAAAACTGAGTTTTACCCTTGTTATGTATTAATTTCTTTCAAGGTTAACTGGCTGTAACCTGTCAGAGAGAAACTGTGCAGCTCTGTCCTCAGTCCTCAGCTCCCAGTCCTCCAGTCTGAGAGAGCTGGACCTGAGTAACAATGACCTGCAGGATTCAGGAGTGAAGCTACTGTCTGCTGGACTGGAGAGTCCACACTGTGAACTGGAGACTCTCAGGTCAGAGTTCAGCTTTTTATTTCAAGCAGTTTGACTTTTAATCCTTTTCATCCAGCTTTTTGTTCATGTTGACGAAGATGGTCCACTTCTGTATGATTTTCCTGCTGACGTGACTTTTTAAAGCACTGAGTTTACTGTATTCCCTGGTTCCAGTCTGTCAGGCTGTCTGGTCTCAGAGGAAGGCTGTGTTTCTCTGGATTCAGTTCTGAGATCCAACCCCTCCCATCTGAGAGAGCTGGACCTGAGCTACAATCATCCAGGAGACTCAGGAGTGAAGCTGCTGTCTGCTGGACTGGAGAGTCCACACTGTGAACTGGAGACTCTCAGGTCAGTATTCAGCCGACATGTTAACTGTCATTTCTATCGACTAATTTCCAGTTTTATCTAATATTGGTTAATAATAAATTAAGATGTTCCTTTGGTTTGTTGTTTATTTTTGTTCTTCAAAACAATAAACCACAAAACCATGATAACAATCTTATTATATTTGAAGACAGATGGCGTCACTTATCTACATCTCAATGTATCTGATTGATTGACCAACCCAAACATGCACAGACCAGAGTTCCCGTTAGCCGGTAATTACCGGACTACGACCGGTAAAATATGCTGAAGACCGGCCAATCTAAATATCTCCGGTCAAAGTGTCCGTTCAAAAATAATTTCCGTTTAGCGCAATACCACATCAGTTGCGCAACTTGCGCCATTTATGTGACAAAAGAGTATGTGACAGACAAGAATAGTCCATTCTAATGTCTAACATGTGGAGAAAGAGATGTCCTGGATGGGTTGATTGTGCGTTGATCTGTTGGTAATGCCTCGGGGTTCCGGTGGGCATGTAAACAAATGCATAATGCTGCGCTATACTTTGCGGCCTCACCCAGTTGCATAGTGACACTTATTGTTTAGTTGTCTTTTAATAAGCAGGTAGTCATATCATTAGCTAGAACTAGCTCTGATCGATATGGACATAAACGCGAGTGAAGTCTAATCTGACGGGAGAGAGAGATCAGCTGCTGCTGACGAGTCGACACGCAGGTCTGCATAATCACCTGCAGCGGTGAGCAGACAAAACACACACTTCAAGTTAGAATATCACACGTAGCTATTTTAATTACCTCTCAAACTACCTAAACTAGTTATAGATATGTTTAGTTTTACTGTCGGGTCACTCATTACTGATCCGCGAGCTGCATGATACTGACGGGCTGTCAGGAGAGGGAGAGCACTCCGTTTATTATTCCCGTGTTATTGTAAGTTACTGTACACTTTTGAACAATGTAGTTCATCTACTATAATTAGTTTAATATTGAATCATATCAATTTGTTTTAAAGCACAATAAATAACAAAGACCTTTGACCGGCACTTTTCTCATTTTGTCCGGAAGATTTAAACTTTAACGGACATGTTGACCGGCGAAAAAATATTCTAACGGGAACTCTGGCACAGACAAACAGATGGTATCATTTGACAAAATAACTAGAAAAGATTGTATGTTGAAACCTTGCTGTCAATCACATTTGTGACCCGCTCTATTGAAATCAGTCGGAAGTCGCAACGGCTCATTTCAAAATAAACGTGGATTTGCGTAAAAAACTATTTTTTCGGGGTTCGGGTGTTTTGTTTGATTTTAAATAAACAAAGTCTTGGCTTTCAGAATATGAAACTTTTATTTCCAAAATCACACGATAAATACATTTTTGAAGCTTGTAAAGGGAAGATGACCGGCACCTCTCACTCGCAATCTGCTCTTCCGCAGCGCCGCCCCCCCTCCCTCCGCTGACATTATGAATGTAAGCGTATAGTAATCATAGATAACACGGCAGGGTCCGTTACAGTTTGTTTTTATCTGGTTTCAAATAAACAAAGTCTTGGCTTTCAGAATATTAAACTTGTTTCGGCAAATTCAGATGATAAATACAACTTTGAAGCTTCGGCATAATTACAAGCGGAGAGCGGAGTAACTTAACGTCACAGCAGGTACAACAACAGCGGGGGTTTCCCCGGGAAACAAACACAATACACACAAATGCAAAATTACACAAACACACACACACACACACACACACACACACGTATACAAACACACTCGCGAGCTTCCCCCAGACCAGTAATCCAAACGAAAATATCTTCCCTCCGTAGTATTTTGATAATTTGCTAATAACCAATCAGATCGATGGATTCCAGAGAGAGGAAACTTTGAAGGCCTTTTTCTCAAAGTGACGACTCGTGACAGTCATTATTTAATGTGACATATTTCGCTTAATATTTGGAGAACAAAAACAACAATCCTGATATCATCAGAAAGCTAATCTCCTCTTTCCATCAGTGGATACAACTCAAAATGTGTCTTCGGGTCAATGCGACTGATTTCGATAGAGCAGGTCACATTTATCATTAACCTGTTTAGCGCGAAGGCCCACGCCCGCGGGGCTGCAGGTTTTTTTTCCACAAAACTGTGTCTCAGGGCTTCTTAACATTTAAAAACCTATTAATGTGTCATACTCACTTAACGGGAAGAAACTCAGCTAACTGACAATACAAACAATTTTTACCGAAACAAAACACAATTCTCACAAGAAGCGTCTGAATGAGCCCTGAGCGAAAAGATTCTAACACACTTAGCACAGAGCTCACGGTAAAATACCCTTATTACTTATCGGATCTGCAAAAACAAGATATCGATTAGCAAGCTGAGATTCCACAGATTCCAGAAATATAAGTATCATCACTGAGCGATCAGAACAGTGACAGGGGAAGCAAACCCAGACATCACACCAAGTAGCTTTACGGAGCAAACACGGACATTGTCTTACCTTAGCTGTTGTTCTGATCAAAAGTCGTGTTCAATGGCATTAAAACGAGAAAAACGCGGCTGAAGGTTAATCCATAGGTTAATCCAATGTGTCTGTGTCACTTTGAAATGATTACTGATAATCCATCACCATATTTATGTAAAAAACGGAGTTTTACCCTTGTTATGTATTCATTTCTTTCAAGGTTAACTGGCTGTAACCTGTCAGAGAGAAGCTGTGCAGCTCTGTCCTCAGTCCTCAGCTCCCAGTCCTCCAGTCTGAGAGAGCTGGACCTGAGTAACAACGACCTGAAAGATTCAGGAGTGAAGCTGCTGTCTGCTGGACTGGAGAGTCCACACTGTGAACTAGAGACTCTCAGGTCAGAGTTCAGCTTTTTATTTCAAGCAGTTTGACTTTTAATCCTTTTCATCCAGCTTTGTGTTCAGGTTGACGAAGATGGTCCACTTCTGTATGATTTTCCTGCTGACGTGACTTTTTAAAGCACTGAGTTTACTGTATTCCCTGGTTCCAGTCTGTCAGGCTGTCTGGTCTCAGAGGAAGGCTGTGTTTCTCTGGCTTCAGCTCTGAGATCCAACCCCTCCCATCTGAGAGAGCTGGACCTGAGCTACAATCATCCAGGAGACTCAGGAGAGAAGCTGCTGTCTGCTGGACTGGAGGATCCTCTCTGGAAACTGGAGACACTCAGGTATGGACACAAAGATTGCAGGTTCCTCATATTGTTCTAATGTAATCTCTTTCATCTCTGGTCTTCCATCATGAAGGACGTCTCATTTCCCTTGATTATGTTCACTGCAGTGAGTTCACCTTGAAGTCTTATTTCATGGAAACAGCCATTCAGTCCAAACATCAGAACCACTGGCTTCCTGGCTCTAGGGAGGATAATGATGGTCAGTTTATGGATTTGGTTCTGACTGAGATATCTCACCAACTGCTAAACGTGTTGAGATGAGATTCTGTTTGACATTTTAGATTCTCAGAGGGACGATCCAGACTTTTCCACCTGCACCACCGTGACATGTGATTGAATTGTTCTTCTTCCTCTTCTGCTCTCAAGTGCATGAGTCGGAAGAAGCAGAGTGGATTTTCTATCCTTTTTAGACTTTTCATGTCTTTAACCTGTTCAGCCCCGAGCCTGTTTTCCAGGTCTCAGGCTCCAAAAGGACATTCCCAGAACAAATGACCATATCTTCTAAAAGGGGTAAATTAATAATCTTTTTTCTCAAAGCAATGATAAACCTGTGAGTTGGATGAAGAAGAGTCAGAATCAATATAGATGTTTTTTATTCTAAAGTCAATTCAGATTGAACACAGTAAAACAAAATTAATTATTGTGTCCGTCCAAAAATAAAACATGAGTTATAGTGAAACCCTTGAATGATGGGATCTGAGACTAAAAGCTTTAGGAATCCAAACTACAACATATCATAAGTACCCTGTATCAAGATTGATGCAAAACAACACTTCTGGGGTCATTTGGGTGGATTTGATGATTGACATCTCTTTTTAACCGTTAGAGCCAATGGAATCGAGGGGAAGTTCCACATACACACAGACGTTACCAAATAGAGAGGCGAAGTCACGCCCATCTACTTCCGCCCCTTGGGACCTTATTTCGGAAAAATGATGTATTGAAGTCAACGGGGAGAGAAAACGTATCTTTCGATCCCGTTAGATTTGTGCCATGAATTACACATATGATGTTTGTCAATCTTAACAAATAATTTCCATGTCAAAAAAGTCAGAGTTTGTTGTAAAACTGTTGAAATATAAGACTATGAAAAATATGCAACTAGAAAGACTACAAATCCCATAGTCGCGTAAGTGATATCATAATTGTTTTCCTCCACTAAATATAAGAGATAGCTAAGATAACTTTAACAAGATGCCTGTGTGCTTAGTACCAGGTTGTTATCATACCAGCAATGGGTCTTGCTCATTCTTTCGCTTCCCGTCTGATAAAAGGACCAGGAGTGGCTGGATCAAGTTAGCTACCTAGCTAGTAGTAAGCACGTTAGTTAGCATTACAGTCTTAGCCTTGTCATTTTTATTAGCCTTAACATGAAGTAACATTAAGTTAACCAAAGTGTCATATTTCGTGAACCCTTTGGAGAGTATTGTCACACCGGTGTGATCATTCTATAATACACCTTTAAACCCGGATGCCCCAGAGGGAGACATGCTAACGCTACATTAGCATCGGCGATCTGTTCTACTTCATACTATCTGCACAAATGGTTGACATTGAACATTAAAAAGACCAGGCAGTTCAGAGAGAATCAAAGGCAGGCAGCTTTGCATGACATTCTTCTGGACGTGTTTCATTGTGGTGATAGTGAGGGGCAGTCAATCCCTTGTTTGGCAAGACAGTAGTGACGGCCATCTTGGTGATGTGTGTTGTTATGCGAGACCAGAGATGTGCATGAGTCGGAAGAAGCAAAGTGGATTTTCTATCCTTTTTAGACTTTTCATGTCTTTAATATGCGTTAATTTGAAGTAGTTATTCTTTGGGTTATAAATTCTTTCACTTGTTTGTTTGACGTGACGTCACCCCATTCAAAGTGAATGGGAAGAAGCATTGAAGTTTCAATGCACGCCCCCGTGTGGACGGGCCGTAAGGGCTCGGATGTATATATGAATGAACACCTCACTAAAATAAATGCTGAGATCGCCAGAAAGGCCCGATTCCTGAGAGAACAGAGATCAACATGGACTGCAAAGTGCAACATCTCCATCAAGCTTAACGGACCCCCAGAACAAAGTGTTCATCATCAGGGACCTGGAGGAACTGGAAACATATCAATGAAACAAATCAGACCAGGTCACGGAAATAAAACACTACCATGACCATTCCAGATAATAAACACATCTCTCTATCAAGAATATAAACATTTGCATATACAGAGCATAACACACAGGACATGGAAAATGACATTGATCCGGAAAACAACTTACTGAACAATATCAACAACAGCTGCAACTATTTCACAGAAGAGCAATTCAATGTAACGTGTCAATCAGAAGAGAACAATGATCCACTTCAATAGCAGAAGCCTAGATGCCAACTTCCTCAACATTAAAGAATATCTAAGTCAGTTTAAGAACCCATTCAACATCAAAGCAATATCAGAGACCTGGATCAGTGCTGAGAAAGGTGGGGACTTTGAGATGGATGGCTACGAACTGAATTATACAAACAGAAGGAATAAGAGTGGAGGGGGTGTGGCGATCTATGTGGAGAAAGGAATGAACTAGAAGGTGGTGGAGAGCATGAGCAATCCTCAATAGCTGTTGAGGATGTGTTTGAATGTGTTACAGTAGAAATGTGTATGGAAAGGTCTAAACATGTTATTGAGAGCTGTATATACAGAGCTCCTGGAACCTGTATTGACACATTTACAGATAGGATAGAAACATGTTTACTAAATCATTACAACACATGATGTTTATCTGGGGATTACAATGTTGACCTGTTGAATCCAAACAAGCATCACATGACAGAAGACTTCATCAATGCTTTGTACAGTATGGGTTTGTATCCTAAAACCACCAGACCTAGTAGAATCACTTCTCACTCTGCTACGTTAATAGACAACATATTCACAAACATTATGGAAAACAATACAGTAGGGACTGCTATATAGTGACATCAGTGATCATTTACCTGTTCTTATTGTCTATCACTGCAGTTCTAAGAAACCTAAAGTTGCCAACCATTTCAAATACAAAAGATTGAGAACTGAAGAAAACATAAATGCATTTAAGAATGACTTACTAAATCAGAATTGGAGGGTAGTATATGAGAGAGACGATATGGACAAGGCATATGATGAATTTCTAAAAAAATTAAATCACTTTGTGACAAAAACTGTCCTGTGAAACAATGCAGAGAGAGACAAAGTCACAGTGCATGGATCACTGATGGCCTCAACAATGCAGAGAGAGACACAAAGTCACAGTGCATGGATCGCTGATGGCCTCAACAATGCAGAGAGAGACACAAAGTCACAGTGCATGGATCACTGATGGCCTCAACAATGCAGAGAGACACAAAGTCACAGTGCATGGATCGCTGATGGCCTCAACAATGCAGAGAGACACAAAGTCACAGTGCATGGATCGCTGATGGCCTCAACAATGCAGAGAGACACAAAGTCACAGTGCATGGATCACTGATGGCCTCAACAATGCAGAGAGACACAAAGTCACAGTGCATGGATCGCTGATGGCCTCAACAATGCAGAGAGACACAAAGTCACAGTGCATGGATCGCTGATGGCCTCAACAATGCAGAGAGACACAAAGTCACAGTGCATGGATCGCTGATGGCCTCAACAATGCAGAGAGAGACACAAAGTCACAGTGCATGGATCGCTGATGGCCTCAACAATGCAGAGAGACACAAAGTCACAGTGCATGGATCGCTGATGGCCTCAACAATGCAGAGAGACACAAAGTCACAGTGCATGGATCGCTGATGCCTCAACAATGCAGAGAGACACAAAGTCACAGTGCATGGATCGCTGATGGCTCAACAATGCAGAGAGACACAAAGTCACAGTGCATGGATCACTGATGGCCTCAACAATGCAGAGAGAGACACAAGTCACAGTGCATGGATCGCTGATGGCCTCAACCATGCTAGAGAGACCAAAGTCACAGTGCATGGATCGCTGATGGCCTCAACAATGCAGAGAGACACAAAGTCACAGTGCATGGATCGCTGATGGCCTCAACAATGGCAGAGAGACACAAAGTCACAGTGCATGGATCCTGATGGCCTCAACAATGCAGAGAGACACAAAGTCACAGTGCATGGATCGCTGATGGCCTCAACAATGCAGAGAGACACAAGTCACAGTGCATGGATCACTGATGGCCTCAACAATGCAGAGAGACACAAAGTCACAGAGCATGGATCGGCTGATGGCCTCAACAATGCAGAGAGACCAAGTCACAGTGCATGGATCCTGATGGCCTCAACAATGCAGAGAGACACAAAAAGTCACAGTGCATGGATCACTGATGGCCTCAACAATGGCAGAGAGACACAAAGTCACAGTGCATGGATCACTGATGGCCTCAACAATGCAGAGAGACACAAAGTCACAGTGCATGGATCGCTGATGGCCTCAACAATGCGAGAGACACAAAGTCACAGTGGCATGGATCGCTGATGGCCTCAACAATGCAGAGAGACACAAAGTCACAGTGCATGGATCGCTGGATGGCCTCAACAATGCAGAGAGACACAAAGTCACAGTGCATGGATCGCTGATGGCCTCAACAATGCAGAGAGACACAAAGTCACAGTGCATGGATCGCTGATGGCCTCAACAATGCAGAGAGACACAAAGTCACAGTGCATGGATCACTGATGGCCTCAACAATGCAGAGACACAAAGTCACAGTGCATGGATCACTGATGGCCTCAACAATGCAGAGAGAGACAAAGTCACAGTGCATGGATCACTGATGGCCTCAACAATGCAGAGACACAAAGTCACAGTGCATGGATCACTGATGGCCTCAACAATGCAGAGAGACACAAAGTCACAGTGCATGGATCACTGATGGCCTCAACAATGCCTGCAAAAAGAAAATACACTTTATAGACAACTCATAGAATATCGAACTTCAGAAGCAGAAAATAAATATAAAAGATATAAGAATAAATGAACCAATATT